GTCAATGGTGGTAATATATAAAAAGAACGATTGCATATAACGATATAGTACAGGAAGAAAGAATTAGTTCATAGTAAGAAAGATATGAAGCGATTTTAATCTCTTAGTTTAAGGAAGACAGAGAGTGTATACACCTACGTCATTGTGATAGTTAAAATGGTTAACAACTCTATTTTAGTTCATTTCATTCAAATGGAACATACAGTCAACATGAGACATTCTTTTGTAATAATATATCGTGTTAACAACAGTCTACCTAATTCCGTTAGACTGAGAATCCTGTAGACGGTTGAAACAATTGCTATTCGGATAAAAAAAGGCCAGAGCTTTGCATCCAAAAGAAATATGTTCAGTCACTCCTTTTACCCTGTTCAGCTTTGGGTCCAACTGATTAATAATCAACTTTATAATGTGATGACGTAATTTGATTAATGTTCATTTTCATATTCCTAAATTTATCTTAAAGAAGAACGTAGTTGTAAAATCTCAGTGAATGAATTTTGAAGTGAATCCAACGTTTCGCCTGGCAATCTGGTCCAAGCTTATTTCAAGGAAATTAATCAAATCGAATAATTATTATTCGATATGGTTGATGTTTGATTATATTTTCCTTGAAAAAAAGCTTGGATCCGATTGCCAGACGAAGCGTTGAATTTACTTCAAATTCTTTCGCTGAGGTTTTACAAAAACATTCTTCCTCTTTAATGACTCACATTAACTCGGCGCCTAAATATTGTTAAACTATTCGTTCAAATTTAGACGAAAGTTCCCATCTAAATTTATCTTATCCACACATCTTACCATTGTCATTATTATTATTATTACACTTGCCAACCTTTTTGAGAAATGTATTCAGCATCCACCTCTATCTACTAATTCTTGTCCAATTCATATTACTCTACATATTACATAATTCTCGATTTGTAATTACATTATTCTCTATCTCTCTCTATATATCTCAACCTACGTTGATCATATTCATTCTGACCATTTGTCTCACAATTTCAGTTCACTTATATACTGAGTCGAGTTAAGACTTCAACCGAAACATTAACGATTTGGTTTTATTTTATATGACAAACAACAATCCTTGATTCTTATATTACCATTTTAAATGATGTACTTTGCATTAAAGCTGACCTTTTTTAGTGACTATTAATTTGGATATAATAATTGTAGGACCTGATGATACACAAGACAAGAAATAAAGTTGAGATGTTCTTGAAAGTATAATCTCATTTAGGTACTTAATCAAAATACAATGATTACATTACAGTTTTTAATAAATTGCCTTTCTAATACTATATTACACTCTATGTTAGACGGTCTCTATACCATCTTGGCTTAATTTATTTTCAATGAAGCACTTGTAAGTTATTCGCGCGTTCGTACGAAAAAAATCCAGCGATTAGAAATGAGTTTTCATATCGTCCCATTCCTTACCCCTTCAGAAAATGAAACACTATTGAATTCAAACCACTTTTATTACATACAATTTTAAGTTGATGGAAAACTCAATTTGATCCAATCTACTTTTATTTGGTTACATCAATAAGAATTTTGAAAAATAATTTTCATTTGATGATTAGTCTAAAACAACCACTTTGTCACATGAAGTGTCTTTATCCCTTATATAATTGTGAAGCTATCGTTGATCATATGGTAGAGAAGATTTATAGCTCAAGTAGATGATTTTAATAAAGTTTTATTCTCTGAACTAAATGGTTTGATCGTGAAACTTTCATCACTCTTTTGAATAACATCATCAGCACAAACTTCTACCTGAAGTTCAGAGAAGCTCCAAGAACGAAACGCCATCAAAAAACAAAGCTATCGTTATTATTTTCAATAAATAATAAGAGGTAAACAATCAAACCATCCAGTTGAGAAAACGTAGAAACTCCCAATCTTTTTACTTCCTTACTTACTTAAGCCTGTTACTCTTCGTGGAGGAGCATAGGCCCACCATCAGCACTCTCCATCCAACCCTGTTCTGGACAATCCTTTCCAGCTCTTTCCAGTTGTTATTCATCCTTTTCATAGCTGATCCTATTTCCTGATATAATGTGTTCTTTGGCCTTTCACTTTTCAGCTTCCCTTCACGATTCCCAGTTATAGCTTGCCTCATGATGCCGTTTGATGATTTGCGTAATGTATGTCCTATCCATTTCCATCGACTTTTCCTAATTTCCGCTTCAGATGGAAGCTAGTTTGTTCTCTATCACAGTAGGTTGTTGCTGATAGTATCCGACTAGTGGATGTTGAGTATCTTGCGAAGACAGCTATTTATAAATGCCTGTATCTTCTTGGTGGTGGTTGTTGTAGTTCTCCAAGTTTCAGCTCCTTACAGTAGAATTGACTGTTTTGACGTTCGTATTGAAGATTGTGACGTTGATATTGGTTGAGAGACAATTGTTTTGAGTTCCATATGTTCTTAAATTGTAGGAATGCTGTCCTTGCTTTCCCATATCTCACCTTTACATCTCCACCTGATATTTCATGTTCATCGATGATGCTTCTCAGTTACATGAAGGATTCCACATCTTTCAGAGTTTCTCTATCAAGTGTGATTGAGTTAGTGCTCTCCACATCCTCTAGAAAACTAACTCGCTAAAAAAACGCTAACCACAAAAAAGTAATAATTCCCAATCTTTTACATTCTTTTAATGGAATTTATTATTGAAGTTCCATTATTATTGATCTATCAATGAATAAATGATCATTTAAAACCGTTGAACGATTCATTCATGCTTACTATAAACTATAATTCACTTTTTTCCCCTATACTATAAAGGAAAGTTAAATAATATGAAAACACTAGAATCATATACTTGGTGATTATTGATTTTATGAAAAGTTTTCTAATTTCTTCGATTATTTTATTGGAAATAGAGAGAAAAAAAAGAAGAAAAAAGAAAGAAGAGAAACAAGGATACAATCAATAAATTTAATGTACATCAGAGTGCAGGTAGAAAAAGAAGAAAAAGAAGAAGAAGGAAAAAAGTCCTTTTCATTGTGTGTTTATATATATTTCATTGGAATGAAAAAAGAAATATGCACCTTTATACATTCCTATATATATACTTCAATGTAGTAGTAAATGTTCGCGTGCATTCACATGTATCTATCTATCTATCTATATATGACTATACAACACACAGTTTATACGTACACAATTCTGTTATATTACAAAGTTGTTGTGTTTTTCCCTTCTTTTTTCTCTTTGTTGTTGTTGTTGTTGTTGTTCCTATTATGTACAAATATGTACAAACTATAACTATAAAACTCTAATTATTAATGAACATTTATCTTCTATATTTATTGACTAACTAAGACAAATAAGATTATTACATAGAACTAATATGAATGTCAAATTATCATATTCATATTGATAGTAATAATGAACTATATGAATCGGTTATTAAATTAGTTTCTATGTAACTTTAAACAAAATTCATGTGATTAAAATATTTCGATTGTATAATAAACTAATAAGAGATAAATTTCTTTTTCAGATCGAAGATGTTTATAAACTGTATCAATTGGTTATTTAAAATCAATCAAAATGAACCTTCAGCAAAGTTTTAACTTATAAGCTTTAGTGGTAATATTGTAGTATGTGTTATTGATGTCGATAAATATAAATAGTATATATCATCCATTGAAATTCTCGCGGTTCCAATGATAAGGCAGCTCAATGGTCCAGTAGGTTAAGCGTTCGCGCACGAGATTGAAGGTCCTAGGTTCGAATCCTGCGAGCGGAATTGTGGATGCGCACTACTGAGGAGTCTCACAATAGGACGAAACGGTTGTCCAGTGCTTCCAGGTTTCTAACGGTGGTCTAACACCAACTGGTTCATGATCTCGATCAAATATTATATAGTGATTGGATCAATAAAATAAAATGTACAATAGATAGTTACATTTATATAGGTTGGAGAAAAACAGATGGTTTAAATTATGGTGACTAACAGTGAGATCCAGGATACTCGTTTCATCTTATTTTGCACTGGTCAACTGGATGTATCTGTATCTTAGAGTTGATGTTCACTCCGAGACTCGAGCCCATTACTGTTCACTTCAAACGCCACCACATTACCCACTTAGTTACTCCGTTTAAATAGCCATTAGCTTGTGCAAGGAAGTGAAGTCTAATTTATCTTTGTATTGGTTGCTTGAATCTTTCTATTAATGTTTAGGACTGAAAATAATCAAACTCTTATTGGTATATGTACATTTTGTGCGGATTGTCTCGATATTATCTTCAGTCACAAAAAGAGGTTGATCAATTTCAGTCCTAAACATCAATAGACGCTAACAGCCCGTACTGGTCTTCAGTTCTTAGTTGGCCGTGTCCATCGTTTCCTTCACAACGGGTAACTCTGCAGAATGTGTTGGAGCTGGTGCCGCTGTTTGTTTAGCAGCTGTCCTCGAGTACCTGGCGGCTGGTAATGCTGCTCGTGACAACAAGAAAACTCGCATTATCCCTTATCACTTACAACTGACCATCCGTAATACGAGGAGTCGAACGAACTCCTCGATGGCGTAACCATCGCTCAGGATTGTGTCGTTAAATTCTAAGCAGTGTTACTTCCCAAAAGGAAATCCCTTTTATTTATCCAAATTTGTCATTCTTACAACAATTAAACATTTACTTTAGTTTATGCATTCTCAAGTTAAGTTAATCTGATTTATCCCAATATTTTTCAAGGAGTTTAATTTGTAAATTTTGATTTCAGTTAAGACACCACTCAAAATCAAAGATCATTGGATATCTTTTCAGTCTTAGAATGAGAAAATTCAAGCAACCAATGCAAAATAATAAATAGGTGTTTGTCTTAATTTGTAGGGACAATGTATTGTTATAATACTGATGTTTGTATGATAAATGTATATATTACTTACATTTTTTGTAATACTCGTATTTATGGTTAACTTTACTGATTATATATTTAACTACATTTATAAAATACATGGTAAAGTTATGAATGATAACCTACATTGACTAGAGTAGTTAATGCATTCACATATTCTTTTTCAACATGAATAAGTTCTTTGACAGCATGTCGCCTTTTCGACTAAAAAGAAAGAAGAGAAATAATGTAAATAAATAAATCAATATACATATTAAATGACAGTTATTCAATAAGAATGACAATAACCGAATGCAAACTCGTAATTCAACTAATAACAAAAATTTGATATGTTAGTTGAATGTATAGTTGGAGTAATTAAAATACTTATAGGGTAAGTTTAAAGATGCTTTTATTTTAACTTTTGATATAGTCTTATTAGCATAGATAGATAGTGGCTAACAATAGAATCCAGAACGTGAGTTTCGTCCTATTCAGGACTCGTCAGCTGAACATACCTGCATCTCAGTGATGATGTTCACTCTGGTACTCGAACCAAGTACCGTTCGTTTCAAACGCCATCGCGTTATTCACTTAGTTACTGAGTCCAAATAGCCACTTGCTTATGCAATGGGGTGACATTTAAATTCACTTGTTATTGATGTACTTGAATCTTCCTATTGAGGTTTAGGACTGTAAATGATCAGTCTCTTATTGGTCTATGAAGTGAATGATTCGAGTCCCGGAGTGAATATTAACTCTGAAATGCGGGTATATCCAGCTGACGAGTCCCAAATAGGACAAAATGCGCATCAAACTGGATTCCACTGCTAGCCACCTTTTTTTCACACATCCTGATATGGAACTGATCAATTGCAGTCCTAAACATTAATGAGAAGATTCAAGTAAACAAAATCAAGTGAATTTTGATAAAGTCATTTTGTAGAATAGTCGGCTGACCTAACTTTTTGCATTTCAGAAACTATTAACAAAATAGGAAGTTTTATTCTTGTCTCATAATGTAATGTAGAATCCAGTAGAAAAAGGTAGAATGATTTTTGAAGGAGCCTTTAGATGAAAAGTGACTTCCTAATTAATCCCTCAACGTAATTATGTAAGAAACACGTTGTGTTGTTGTCCCATGAAGGTGATATTTTAAGATGGATAACGTATGAAAGAAGTAATTATGTTTCAAATGACGGCGAGACCCTAATATATGGACGAGTCAATCAGAAACGCCTGAGGAATTTTAAGGTCATGGAGCCAAGTTCAGCACCTGATGCTCACATACGATCGCTTTACAGCGGATTTTAGAGAAGAGGTGATTATTGAGCGGCTGCAAGAGATGAAACTACTAAGAAGTTCCTGTACCTGTGAATGCAGTTATCAAATGACTGAAGTACAGTGTGCAGACTATCGTGATGAGATTGTATTTCGTTGTTCTTTATATTGGAGAAAAAAGTCTGCTCGAACGGGGACCTTCTTCACTCGATCGCGACTGAGACTGAGGCAAATCATGATAACAGTCTCAAATTGGATTTTAAAGGCACCAGTAACACTGGCTGCGGCGTTTACAGATGTTACTGAAACTTCAGCCATCCAGCGGTATGTGTATTGTCGTGATATATGTACACTTAAAATGACACGTCTACACGAATCATAAGGAGGAGTCGGAAGTATTGTGGCAATAGATGAAACAGTAGCGCGAAAGCGAAAATACAGCAGGGGACGTAGTAACAAGGAAGATTGGGTAAGAAGCACTTCCGTAAATGTACTTGACAGGTACTTGGAATTTATGATCGCTCAACGCAAAAGGGGCATTTCAAGAGGGTGAGAAACCGTCAAGCCATATGGACGAGTTCCTATATCGCATGCATTATGATTTCAGAACATTTATCAAGCCTTAACAAGTTTTTAAATCACGTAAAAGAAGAATATCCACTGTAATTCATTAGTTTCTTATAATATATTTTTACTTTATACTAACTGGCTTCTGATTGGCTAATAACTGTCAAGGTCACTTAGGATTCGTTCAAGGTTCGTCCATAAATTAGAGTGTCGCCGAAGTAACTGACTAGTGTTGTGATATTACTCTTAATTATGGTATATTTTTTCATTCATAATTTTGATAATTGTTCTCTCTTAAAATCGTAATTAACTTATAATGGTTTGTCATTTATTGGGCAATAAGTAAACTGATCCTCCGGTGTTTCAGTTCTAAAAAACAATCAAATTAGCCTGATCTGTTTCATCTCCCTCATACTATCTTGTTTCAAAATTCGAAATAAACATTTAATTAAGGGGAACAAACATAGGATTTAACACTTGAAGCAAATAAATATTGTTGTATTCCAAATCATTTTGTAGTGTCCGTTGCTATGTTAAGCCCACATAACTTATTCTAGCTTCTGGATAGGCAAATTTATCCATTCTTCTTGAGTTACGTTTCTCGGTTCTGACGAACAATGAGTAGACATGGTAAAGGTGGGAAGTCTCGTGCTAAGGCCAAAACGCGATCAGCCAATACTGGTCTTTAATTCTTAGTTGGTCGTTTCCATCGTTTCCTTCGCAACGAGTAACTCTGCAGAATGTGTTGGAGCTGGTGCCCTTGTTTACTTGGCAGCCGTCCTCGAGTAATGCTGCTCGTGACAACAAGAAATCCCGTATTATCCCTTACCACTTACAACTGGCCATCCGTAATGACAGAGTCGAACAAACTCCTCGGTGGCGTAACCATCGCTCAGGATTATGTCCTTCCTAAATTCCAAGTAGTGTTACTTCCCAAGAAGACCGACAAGGTGAAGCCTTAATTGCTTCGACCGTGTGACTGGATAGCTAGGATAAGTTATGTGGGCTTAACATAATAACCGACACCACAAACCTTTCAATATTTTTATGCATTTGAAAAAAGCACACATTACTTTTTTACTTTAATGTGTCTTTGTACAAACGGAAATCCCCTTTATTCATCCAAATTTGTCATTCTTACAACAATTAAACATTTACTTTGAGCTTATGTTTTCTCAAGTTAAGCTAATCTGATTTATTCCAATATTTTTCAAGGAGACACCACTCAAATCAAAGATCATTGGACATCTGTTCAGTTTTAGAATAATTACCCAAACAATGAGCATCAACGATCTCATTACGGATCAAACTTAGAGTTACCAAGTTTTCCAGTAAACCGTTAAAACCACTGTAATATAGTTTCAACTTGGATCATTTTCTATATAAAGCAATGATCATCCATTCCTGTTGACAAATGTTTAACTCTGTTTTGTTTTATTATATATACATATACAATTAGCTGACTAAACACATTCAGTATTATCATACATTTCACTTTATAATTTACTAAGAACCGTTTTGGACATAAATCAGATTCGAAGATATTTTTTTTAAACAGATAAACGAAGACATAATTTTTTTGGTGGAGTTTTGTTCTCGGGTCTGGATGGTTTGATCGTCGAGCTTCCATCATTCTTCTGAATGGCATCATCATTGGAAGTTGACTTACACTTGAAGTTTGTGCTGATGATATCGAAGTGTTTACAGAATGCAAGAGCTCAGTACTCTTGAGATAGTGGAGAAGATTGGTAGCTTAGGTGGATGATTTTGATGGAATTTTATTCTGTGAGCTGGATGGTTTGGTTGGTACTCTGCCATAACCATCTCAATTAATAAAATCAATGTAAAATAAAAAGACTTTCCTATAAACCTACCAATATTAACACAGTTTTATCAGATGATACATTATCTGACTGAAGATTTTTCGCTTCATCTGAATGTAACAGTTGAGAATTATGTTTATCACACTCGTTATTATTTTTTGATATTTTGGAAATGGAATGTAAAATGTTAGTATTAGCTGAATTCAATTCGTCTCCAATAGAATGATCTTCATCTGCAGTTTGTGTGTGACCACTGCTACACCCTCCACCAGTTGAACTACTACCTCCAGTATCTAAAGATGGCAGTGAACTCGAAGAACCTAAACAAGAAAAAAAATACACTAAATTAGTCATGTTTTATAGTTTCAAGTAAGAATATACAACTGTAATCACCAATCTCTTGTCTTTTGAGAGTCCAAAGTTTTTAGTTTATTCATAAAAATTTCAGATTCATGTGCAGATTTTATTAGCATAAACTGCATGTTGAATTTATCCATTTCATAGTTTATGTCTTGAATCAACTTTATTCAGATAACCACTGTAACTTTATCATCATTTGCAGTAGCGAGACATAACCAATGGTAATTGATGACTGGATTTAGACCATTGGACACTAGCTAATTAATATGAATGAAAAATGCTCTTTATGGAGTCTAATATTTAAAGTTTGATCATCGAATCCGTGGGTGCTCATTTCTGAGAAGCTCCATGCTCAGATGAAATAGTTATCAATTTCTTTCTGTCTTCTCACAGTTTTTCAACTAAAGCCAGTATTTTATGCTGATAACATACATTCTATTAATTGGCATGTTACAAAATAGTTCATGTGAGGTAAGCATGCCAACTAGTTTAGATTATTTTATCAATTTGTTTGCAAAACTGTTTGTCTAATTGATGACCAACAATATAACTATAGTTCATACGTTCGAATTATTATAATCACTGATGTATTACTGATTCAAATTTATCTATGAAGTCATAGTGATATCTTTTACTGAACATATAGAATATTAATTTTGATAGTTGAGATCATGAGTCGATTAAAGCTAGACCAACATGGGAAACCTGAAAGCACTAGACGGTCGTTTCGTCTTATTGTAGGACTCCTCAGCAGTGCGCATTTACAATCCCGCCTCGCGATATTTGAGCCCAAGACTTAACATTTAGACCACTGAGCAGGCCGGCACCAGCGGCGTTAATGTCTAACCTCAACTAATCCACGAAATTGAGCGACACATCCACCATTGTCATCAGTAAGTTACTATCTCAAAACAGACCCAGTTGAACTCCACCGGTCACTTCACTGGTCGAATCTCGTGAGGCGGGATCGTGGATGCGCACTGCTCAAGAGTCCCACAACAGAGAATATTAATTGAAATCTACAGATTTAATCATATCCATTAACAAACTCAGTAAGTTTTGGCTTAAGAATTAAGAAAACAATCAAAACTTTGCTAAATAATTTTGAGCTATTGATTATCAAATGAAAATTTTATAAAATGTATAAAATAAATCGTTATTGAAGGAATCAGAGTAAACGTTAACAAGATTAGGCTTAAACTTGAAACAATGATCAAGTAATATGAATATTTAACAACAGTATTGAGTTGATACATCATCTAATATGATGATGATGATAATAATAGAGTAATGTATGTAATATATGACAGAAATATCATAGATCTAAATCCCAGGTTGATATGGAATTAACCGATTGTTTCTGCAATATATTTTAGGTTAATGCGTTAACCTCTCTAAACCTTTATGTGGATATTGTAAATGATGTAAAAGAAACTAAATTGGAGCCTGAATACCCTAAATCTACGCTGTATTACAGAAGAGTTAATTCTAGTAGTCCATTTTGTCCTTTGTTTAACTTAAATGTATAGTGCAAAGGGGGGAAGATAATATCAGTGACCCACAAAACCTACTTCCTCACAAATAGTTGAATAAATTTTTCTGTTAAAAGGTATAGAAGTCGAATAATTCTTACTGATTTATGTTTAAAATGCAATACTTGTAAAAACAAATAACCATTTTGCATTGCTTTGCATTAACACTATTGTTTACAATATCAGTACAAGAAGCTGCATTCTTAAACACTCTCAGAAAGTTACTTAGAAGATGTATGAATAAGGTACACAACCTTGCTTTGGTTTGTATCTAAACTGAAAGTAAATCTATGATTCAGTTATCATATAAAATTTATTGACTTGTATGATTGTTAAACAATGATGAAAAGTCACATTTAATCGTTATGTTCCATTTAACGGCCCAGGATAGAGTGAGCTGAAGAATGCTAGTCGGTGGCCTATGTTCCATTGGGAATAACAGGCATAATTAAGTCCCATTTAACATCAAGCCAAAGGAGAGCAATAAACGAAAGGAAGTAGTACTTTTCTGTAGCTGGAAATATATTTCATTTCAAATGCAGTAACTTTGTACAGATCATAATCTTAATAATTTAAACAAGCGGGATGATATTTTTATCATACTAATCCATAAGTAACTTATAAATGAATTACCACTCTTCAAACAGTTTATTCAGTGCTATTCTCAGAACTCATTGAATATAGTTTTCTGTTAATTGATTTTTTTCTGAATCCATATACTCTCTGTGTCATGCCCCGATAAGCATAATGAATGGTAATTTTGGGATTCCGTTTGTGGACCAGTACTATACGTACATTTTTACAGTATAATTGTTAAATAACTAAACTATTCATGTTCATGTTTCTCTTATCATAAGCTTTATCTTAACCTATAAACTGTTATTACTCGATTTTCCATTCTTGAATTATTCCCTGTCTATTAGTCACTTCCTCCCTCATTCACAGCCACTTCTGGCTAATTCTTGTACAAATGTTGTTTCATATTTTATTGGTACGTTATGGTCTGTTTGATTGGTATATAAACCTAGTATGTTTGAAATATAATCATTCATATTGCAGAGGCTGAGACTGGTGTTCTGGACTTAACTGGCTGGGCTAGGCGGAAAGCAGAGCTAATCAGAACTCTAGGCTGCTCGCATGTGTTTTACGCGTCACTGTTCCTATCGATAAGTCACTGCACATTAATCGGCAGTCACAAGATATAACACTCTGGCTTTTAATCCCTATGCAAAAACTGACAAATGAAAGCTGACTATTAATTTGATTATGATGGCGCTTAACAATTTTCAATTCAAACGATTACAATATATTCAAAAAGACCATATGTATACAATATTAACTATGGAGATTTCAAGCTTGTTTTAATGACGATTACACAATTAGTATAAACGTATAATGGAAAACATTAAAGAATTTACAGACAAATATCTATTGTTGATCTAAACCATGTAATCTTGAAGATCCTCAGTTTAATGTAAACGAATTAATTACAAACAAAATGATCCAGAATATTTGATTTCAATAAGTTAAAGTACATCCATAAATCTATATGCCTTGGATATTCTACGCGTTCTGTATATTTAATTATCTAATTATACTAATCCGTCGATTGATCGCTTATCATCAACTCTTTATTGTCAACATTAAAGTCAGTTTTACCGATACGCCTTATATGATAATCTACAGTAATAGAACAATTTTGTCAAGTTCTATATGTTTATTACTTTAAATTATATTTAGCTCAAGTTCTGTTTTACAAACCTCAATAATGTCTTCAAAATGGATATTACATAACCAAACTCTTTAACATAAATAGTTTGTTTGATTAAGTTCATGAACCGAACCCAGTAATTGGGTTCGAATTCCGCAAGCGGGATCGTGAATGCGCACTGCTGTGAAGTTCCACAATAGAACGAAACGACCACCCAGTACTTCCAGGATTTCATTAATGGTCTAAAATCAATCAGTTCATGATCTCAATCAAAACTTTAATAATCTCCACAACCTTATACTGATAAATATTTTATCTATTGACTATAACAGACTAGAAATCGTTATACTTTCAGTAGATCAATTAATTCAGGTTTATTTTTAATAAAACCTACATTTTATCCTTCATCTTATGATATATTAAGTACAATCCAAGTTTGTAGATAAGTTTTTAAAAAATGAAACTTAAAAGGTTTTCTCATTATAAATCATTCCGTATAAGAAGAAGATGAGATTAAACTAATATCTTCTTACATAATATAAGAAGATATGAGTAGACTGTTGAATTGTTACAATCAAGCACTAGAGATATGCTTCGTCCTTACATAGGATTCCTCAGCAGTATACATTCATAACCTATTAGAGAGTTGAACATAAGACGTTCAAATCTCATCAAGTTGGGCAATCGATAATTTAAATGTTTAGCTTCAATCTAATACTACTATTACGAAACAGTCTCTCAATGTCTGTTAGTGAGTAAATGCATTGAAATCTGTTTATGTGAACCTTACTGGTCACAGTTTCTCACTGGAACTAGAGGAATTACCTCACAAACTTACTTACTAGTAAGCTCATGAATATTTTCACTATATAATGAGGTGTAGTGAACATGAATACGGGTGGAGACATTCGAATTACACTCAGAACAAAATTACCGAGTCACTTCATAAAATAGAAAAACCATACTATAATACTTGATTTGCAAAATCTTCAATAACTGTCTCGAACTTCATTGTTCTTGCACTAATTGCTTTCTATTCCCGTTCTTCCTTTCTTGATCTTCTCCATCTTCTGCTGTCAGACATTACATTCCTGACTCGCGTCATATACTACTTATATCAATATAAGTAGCACACAACACAGAGGTTTTTTGAAATTTTTACATCTTTCAGTTGGTTCATCTTAGTTAAATAACTATTTTAACACATTTTTCCGCGGAATTAAAATGAATTCTTTCTCTGGTTTTTTTCTTTCTAAATACATTTCGATTCTTTAAATGTAGAAACCTTTTCTTCCCAAAGTGTCTATCAATGATTACAAAACTTATATTGAACTGCCCTACATCCATTTCACCCTTTTCTGCTTATGTACATGTATGTATATATGTGCATATCTTAGTGTCTTTCTTTTCTGTCAGACAAAAATATTTTTCCTAAAAGAAGAAAAGATGTCTGCATGCAATAATTTAGTTTATACACAATTTTTTTCAAACATTTGGTCAATTTATATTAGTAAGCTTTAAAAGATGGACATTTCATACAAATTTATGCGTATAAACCTTTTTGTCAATGTTAAATTATCAGAATATGGGTTATGGAGATTGTAATAAGTTTAATAGTTGAATTCATGAATCTATTTAAGTTAGATCACCATGGAAAATCTAAAACCATTGGATTGCTGTTTCATCGTAGTATGAGACTCCTCAGCAGTGTACATCC